GGCTTGTTTAATGGTGTGGTCATGTCATTGTGATTTGCTACCACCAGCTACCCACCTTTAAGAATAGGTTGAATTCATATCATATTTGATATACAAACCTTGTACTTTAGATTATCGAAATCAGTAAATATTGTGTAGTGTACTTTTTATCATGCAAACACAGTAATTCGTTTCATTTTACTATTAAGATGTCCCCACACTTAAACAGTGGTGATCATCGTTGCCAGACTTATAAGTGTTCACCTTTCTAGTTTGTACCTCTAGAGGGCATTTTATCTGGACTGTTTAATTTGTATTGCCCTTTGAAGGTAATTCATCTTGCCTTGTTTCCTAAAATTGTGGAAGTTTTACTCGTGGACGTGCTTCTATCCATGTGTGCATTTGCCTGTACAAACCCAATACAGGAATGAATGAACATGTGTTTAATAATCAAAATAGAGTATTTTAAAAAGTACACATTTGTTTGCTGATTTTTTAATTGTGTGTTTAATTTGTTAAATTATCTGTTCTGCTGTGCTTTTATGGCTATGACTAATGTCCAGTGAAATACTATTTGTAGTAATATCTCAGTGGTGCTGTTATTGTAGCTTGAGATGCCAATAAGATACACCAAACTGTGATGAATCAGCTGTGTTTTTTTTTATATATAATCAGTGTTTTTAATCTATTACTATGTCAACACACCCCGCTAAACAAACCTTATAAACAAATTTTAAAAAAAACAAGATTAAAAAAAAGATTGAAGGTAAAGGAGTAATGATATAAACTAATAACAAAAAAAATCAGATCTACCCGGTAGTGTGAATCAAAAGTATTGGGAAATAAAATCGTTTTTATATTGTGTAGTTTTTAATTGCACATTCAGTATTTTATATTCTATGACCAAATAAGGCATGTTATATAATGTGTAAAAACTACATAATGTGAAAAAATTAATAATGAATTATGCTGTAAATGAAAATGTAGAAAAATAAAATATAACTGAGGTGAGAGGACACGGTCTCAGGAGTCTGTTAGAAATGTCTAGTGCTCATATTACAAATGTGGGAGATACCTGATAAGTATGTTGTTGATGTAAAAACCTTGAATTGCTGGCTTCAGGAGTTATGGAAAGAACACAAATCCTCAATGGACGTTTTTACGAGAAATGAATATTTCCTTTTGGGTAGTGGGGAGGTATAAACCTGGAATTATTTTATGCATGTAATATTGCACCAAAAACATTTATGAAATGCAATACATGTGGTAAACAGGTAATCGCCACAGACTGCTACAGGTATTTTCACAGTTAGCATGATTATGTGACATCAAATATTGCCTAGTTTCATTTTGACTGTATAAAAAAAAAAAGTGTCCTAATTTTGACCTATAAAAATAGATCTGAATAATCTCGCCCTCAAATTTATGATAAGTCTTCCAGGAGTATTTGAAAATTAATACTGGTCTTGGTTTGAGATTTCAAACAAACTGATGGTGGATACACTGTAGTCATGCGACTGCAGAGTTGGACAGCTTTCATATTTGAAGTATTAGTGTGAACTTGTCATCCAATATATTGATTTATTATGAAACGTGTGATGAACCAACGTCTCATCAACTTTGATTGTGAACACACAATACAGAAATGCATGTTCATTCTGATGGTAATCTTTTATGATTTTGAAGTTGTATATGTGTACGGTTTGAAATGTTTGCTCTATTATAATATCAAAGTGGTCAAAGTTCATTTACCAAAATGTTTTTGGTTTTTTATTGAAATTGTAGAAATCTTGTATTATGTGTGCACAGCTTTGATGTATTCGTATGCGTTTCTAATAGAGCAAATATCGTAGCATTGGAAAGAAGACCTGTTGAATGTATAATGATAATTGTTGTATTTCTTGCTTACGTGAGTAATTTCACAGATCTGTGGGTAGCTGAAAAGCTTTTATGAAATGTATGCGTTTGATGTAAGTGATGGTCACAATGATGGAAAATTATGGACAACTTTATGAATTGTGTATGCTGAAACGTCTAATAACCAACTAAGAATAAATAAAGAAAACTGCGTTGTTTAATTGTTTTGTCTGTACTGATTTGTGCAAGTCTTAAATGTGTGATCACTAATCTACACTGTCGGTTGCATATGATGCAACAATGCCTAGAAGTGTACGTCTGCATTGAATTTTTAGTCACAAAAGACCCATCTGGAGTAATTTTGATGCAGAAACAATACATAATGGTATGCATATGAACATCAATATACAACTTCTCGTGTCTTTGTCTTCTGTGTTTATTCAATCCTCATGTCTAAAAATAACTTATCAGAAATTACTAAAATACCATTACACAAACCAGGCTGATGCAAGGAGAGATCCACAGCGAACATTTGACTTAGAGATGGGACAAATTTCATTAAACACTGATTCCTTATGCCAATTTCATTCAAACTTGCTATGAGTATCAGTGATTTAAAGTGGCCCTCATGACTATTTGTTTTATTTTCAAGTGTCCATACCAATTTCCCAGACATATTTCCCCTTGTATGAAGAAAAGAATGATCAATCAATTGCATACAGGGATATATAATTAAAGAACCATCTGATGGTTTGTGTTTAATGTGCTGCCACCACAATATGGTGTTGGTTATTCACATGCAAATATGATAAATTAACTTGTCAACTCGTGCAGAACATTTTATGTTTACAAGTTTTTAGTCTTTCCTATCTAATTTTACAACAACTTTAATGACTCGTCAGACAACTTTTTTGACATTCAGGCCAACAGTTTTTTTCTTTTCAGACATTCCACCAAACTGTTCCTATGTTGCAGTTTCTATTTTCTCTAACTTTTCCCTAAAGTTAATAACTTTCAGGACAACTTTCTACCAACTGTTTTGCTATGGCGTCATCAAAGTGGACAGTTGCGTTGTTCATATAGATGATTGTCTCACATTAACTTTTTTCAAACAACTTTCCTTTGAAAAAACAATTTACTTCATTGCTTCAGATTTGTTAATTTTGTAACAATATCATTAAATCTCTATTTTTAGTCAAAACTGGTATTTTTCAACTTCTGCATGAAAACTACCAGCCCAACTGGTTGGACCTATATCAGATTCTCTATTTTTACAAATATTTTTGGTACAAAATAATATTATCAACTTCTTAACCACCAGCCCAATTGCTTTAATATTTGAGGTGTATGTAATCTTTGGGAACAATTTCAACAAGTTAGGTAGGCATGTTCTTATTAGCCAGACCTAAATTATGTCTTCTTGGTGTGCATTACTTGATTTTTCTACCACAATGTCTTTGTAGGACAGTGAGTGGAGCCATTTTGATTGTCGAGTCACTTGTTTTACTTTTCAACCAATATTTTTCCGTCCAACTATTTGACATATTTACATCTTTCCATCTAACTTTCTGAATTTTGAGTAAATTTTTATGACTCTCCAACCAAATTTCACATTCTCTCCCAACATTTGCCTCATTTCAAGTAAATTTTATCTTTTCTAGAAACTTAAATGTTTTTTAGTCAACTTTTATGATTTCAGTCTTTCTATCAAAATTCTAGTCATGCAACTTTTTTTGACTCCGCCTAGCTTTTACGATATACAAGACTTATCAGTCAAGTTACAACCGCTTTCACTTTATAAGCAACTTGATGACTTTCCTTGCAACTATTTTTATTTTATTTTCCACCAGGCTTTTACGTTATAGCCAAGTTTTATTGCTTTTCTACCAACTTATTTGCATCCAAATTTCACGTGTTCTTGTTCCCAACTTTTGATTCTTTCCAGGCGAATGTTCTTTTTCCTAGAAACTTCGTCTTTCCAGTCAAGTATTTCAACACTCCATTCCATAAAATTATGACTAGCCACTATACGCTTTCCAGAAGACTTTCTTGAATTTCCATAAATTTTTTACTGATTTCCAACCCACTATCCAAAGAATAAACTTTGTATCAAACTAACTTTTGTCTTTCCACCAATATTTACGATTTTCCATTCAAATTTGATGAATGTTACACTACTAAATATGTTAACAGATTAATATCAACAGACACAGGGTAACCCTTTTGAAAATGTGTATAAGCAATGGTGTACACAAAGCAAACTCTTCATCTACTATAACACTGGATTCTGAATCTTACAAACAGTTCTTTATCACTGCACTTTTTCCACTAAACACATGCTCGTATAGCAGTACAATAAGAACAAAATACACAACAATATTTGTAAACAAACTTTTCAATTTTATTACAGAAGTGCTAAATTCAGGATATAGTAAAATACCGGTCATAAAAAGTATGAATTCATTGCAATAGTCCATTCCCTGTCACTAACTTTGGAAATTTAAAAACTTGAAGGGGGTTTGAACGAATGTTCCAGTGTTCTAACTTCAGAAAAAAAAATACTTTTTTGTTTTTAACACATAGTTCTTCATTTTTATACAACCAATACATAGTTTATTTTAACTTGTACTTGACACTACCAGTAAATTTAGAGTTTCTAATCCAATACCACCATTTCGTTTGAGGTGATACCCATTAAAGTACAATCAGTAATAGTGAAAACCATTAGCTGTGATCTTTGGTGTTACACATGTCTTGAAAGTCTGTTTTTTCATCATCAAAATATACTGTCCTTGACAAAGCTTGATAAT